GTGTGTTTGATTCTTCCCTCTTTTTTTTTTTTTTTTTTTAAATCTATCACTGGAGGAGACAGCAGCCGGGCTCTCGGGTTGAAGCCCGAGTAGAGAGGGAGAGATGAGTGGAGCCAAAGCCCGCAGCGACGCAGCTCCTGTTGCTGAAAATYCCTGCGGCGGCGGCGGCGGCAGCAGCGGCGGAGGCGGGCACGCTTCTGCTGCGGTCCCTTCGCGGGAGCGCAAATCCGGCGGAGGCGTCCTGAAGAGGCTGAAGTCTCGGAGGAGCCAGGGGGACAGCAGGCCCGTCACGGAGGAGGAGCTGCGGACGAAAGGTGGACACATCTCTCCGGAGGATGTGCTGGGACTGCAGGCAGCCACCAGAGGTTCGAGTCTCTTTCATTATCGATGCCTGAATTAAACCCAAACGAAACATAAGCCCTTTGAAACTACTTGATGAAACTAAACAAAAGCACGTGACATGGATGTAGCTGCTGGGTGTGACGTCATTAGATCAGGCAGCCCTTGTTTCAGTATTTAATCAGCTTTGTGTGTGTGTAAATAGCAGCGAGTATAACAGGACAATAACTTTGTGACAATGTGTGACTTTGTTGTAATGACATYATATTATGAAGAAAACCATTTAATGTTTTGTAGAAAGCAGGCGCACAAACAGGAGTGTACAGTGAGGCCCTCACTGTGAACTAAATTATGTCAGGGCCTCTATGCTAATGCTATATTTACAGCAGTATTACAAAGTWAACAAAGCTGTAGCCTGAAAGCTTTGTTATGTGGGAGCAGCAAGATGATTGGTTGATTCAATAGGAAGCTCTATGATGTGAGAATTGTCTCTTGTTTTGCAGGGTACCTCTGCAAACCAGAGGACAACATCTATAACGTAGACTTTGTCCGCTTTAAAATCAGAGACCTGGAGACCAGCACCGTTCTGTTTGAGATCGCTAAACCTCCACATGCAGGTGCTGCCCCCTTTATTGCCCACTTTTATGTCACAGCTGGCTTAAAATAGAAGTTTTTAAGCAGGCTGCTGGGTTTTCGGTGTGAATCATGGGATGTGTCTTGTGCCAGATGACGACGAGGAGCACCGAGAGGGAGACGCCACCTCGGGACGGTTTGTGCGCTACCAGTTCACCCCGGCCTTCCTGCGACTGAGGACCGTGGGAGCTACGTGAGTGACTCATTTTCCACACACCTGTCCCAAAGACACACAAAAACAACAATTGAAAACAATTGCAGTCTTCCATCAGTGACACACCCCACTGGCTGTTTCTCCGTGCGCACACGCAACAACAACGTTATCATTTCAGGGCAACACACAGAGGTCTAACGTTTTTCCCTTTCTGTATTCGATCAGGGTGGAATTCACGGTCGGGAACCGGCCTCTGAACAACTTCCGCATGATCGAGAGGCACTATTTCCGCGATCACCTGCTGAAGAGCTTCGACTTTGACTTTGGCTTTTGTATCCCAAACAGCCGAAACACCTGCGAACACATCTACGAGTTCCCTCAGCTCTCTGAAAGCCTGGGTGAGTCACCTCTATTTAACATCGCACCATCAACAAGGACTATTTTTGGTGCTTTGCCGTCACTAGAGCAAGACGGCTCATTTTAAAAAAATGTTCTCTTTTCATACCTSGAGCGAGGCGGTGCCACATGGTGACTCTGACTCACCGCAGGCTGCTGATTGGTCAATCATCGTCTGTGGGCGTAATAATCTGCAGCAGTGCACTAATAATGGACACTCACACTTTCTTGTTTTATAAATCAATTAAGGGGCTTGACTTGAAACTTACATAACCTTTAAAGGCAATAAAGTCACTTTTAACCTTGGGTGCACAGATTGAAAATGTTGTGTGACTAATACTTYACGGTAGATAATCATATTTCTTCACTGATTTACAGTTCATTRTGTCACCACAGATCTGTCTCTAATCTCTAATCCACAATCATAYGTCTGTTTTGATAAAAGTCTTTGTTAAATCAGTAATGTAAGAAAGGAAATGTYTGTGTCTCGTGTAACTGCAGCTTCACGTGTTGCACTGACAGCTGAGCCGGCCCACAATATGCCTGCAGCAGAAAACCAGTCAGCTTTTATTTAACGTTGTGTTGTACTTCAAAATGAGATGGGAAAAAAAAATCTGATTCTGATTAAAGACACATTTTCTTTTCTGAGTCGGATTTTAGACACAAATCTGCTGGCTTATATGTAAATGAATTAATAAATAAATACAATTATAAATCCCATTTCTGGAAAAGTTGGAAAGTTTCTAACTCAGGGATTAAG